GAGCGCGCGATGAAAGGATGAAACCCAAAGTGCTCAGAATACGGTTATTTAATTCAATGGCTACAACAAAAATTTGTGAGTTGCAACATTACCTGCGCAAGAAATTCATGATCGAGCCTCCCAAATAAAAATTTATTGCGGAGTGGTGTTCCACCACAAAAATCCGTCACGAGACGAAAGCATCATTCGTGGGTCCGGAATATGCAGGTGTATTTATTATTATTTTATGCTTCATTTTATTTAAGTCATACGAAATTTCTTAGTGCGGTAAAAACACAAGGCACACTTCAAGTTCATGGCTGACTTCAATTTTGTTCAGAACAGCTTCCTTGCCAAAAACTCACTGTTTGTATCTTTAAAATTTCTACAATACTTAGTCCTGTGTGCAGATGCGCAACTCACAGACAAGAGGAAACAATAAGATATCAGATTCTGGATAACGAGCTCGCTTATTCTTCCCGTTCCCTTATACCGCCCCTAACCACTAAACAAAAATATTCAATCCCACAACATTTACGATTTTAATGTTTTTGAAATTTTTTTGAACGACATTGTGCCGAAGACGAACCCGAACGACCACACGTAAATGCAAAAGCCGGAAATGAGAAACTAACGTTTAGAGCAGCAATTCGTACGGCCATCACACGGTCCGACATGTGACCTTTTACAATTTTGTACAAATCCTTGTGGATCGAAGATGCACCAAAGCCCAGACCTTTCACCAGTTTTGCGAATGTATGCAGCAACTCAGCGCGCCCTTGTGACTGAAATTCATCAGACAAATTTTTTTGCAAAAGTCACTGCTGGTAACCTGAACCTTGTCCAATAAGCAGGTAAAGTACAGGCAGATATTACATATAACCTCAGAAAACCGTGGTGTCTTTCATCTGAATTTCAGAAGACCGTCGTGTTTTTTCCTCACCGGTTATATGCATATCACTGCTTCACATAATGAATATTTTACTCACATGGGAATCGAACACGTAAGTGACTGGCGGAACATCACGCATTTACCCACTGCGCCACGAAGCAACCATCCTCCGGGAACTCATTTTTATTCCCAAAACAATGCCGCCACACAATAACTAGCTCAGATGGACAAATCCTTCCTTCAAAGAATGCTTGGAAAACATGCTGTTGCCAGTTCCAGCCATTCGTACGAGAGGAATAATGATAAAATTTTTCGGCCTATTAGAATTACAGGATGAATTATGCAACTTTCAGGTTCGAAATCACTGTCACTATATCTAATTGAAGAACTGAAGTAGAGCCACACCAACAGCTTTTTTGACAGATGAATTCAAACCTCACAAATAATGCCGCTATCAACGGCCTCCACAAAAATCTGCAAACCAACCTCAGCATTTTTCAGCCATTTGATCATCAGATGAAAAGATTCTTCATAGCTTCGTCCCACCAGTCGACCCAGTGTTTCATACATTGCTCCCAAACATTGCAATGCGGCTCTGGAAAACTCTTAAATTAATACATTAAAAACCCAAATTTCCAAAAAATCCGGAAAATTTGGGGCTAAATTAATCAGGTTAAAAGCATGTAACCAGCACAACGTGACGAACTGCTGGATGAAACAGGAACTAACAATTTGACGGGAAGATGTGTTGGCGAGTCATCACGACCTTTTAGGATATCGTTGCAGAAGTTGATTGTCTCGAAAAGACTGTACGTGTCACCAACCGAATATATCTAAAAACTGCTAACGATGACAACAATAACGACGACAGTTATGGCGTTGAG